GAAAGATAAGCCCATCACAGCATCAATCACGAAAAAATTGAAGGATAATATTAGCAACTTATTACATACAGCCGATGAGAATAAGTCACGTAGTTGAGATAAGTGTATAAGGATAATCTTCTCTCACAAACAAATTGTTTTCATTATCATGCACGGTTATCACACACATGAACTGGCTTTTCGAATATCGGAAGGTCAAATGACTCAAATATGTGAAATTTTTGTAAGGAAAATACATGTGATGTCAAATAAACTAGGGCCAGATTCATCTAATGTAAGTATTCAGTTCTTTTGGAATTAAAGATCATGTACAAATGTATTATCTACACATCTAAATTTACTATCATCATTTTCTTGATTTTCCTATTCACAACAAGATATTGTTTTGTTCTGTAGTTATATACTTACAAATAATGTAAAATTATTTTGAATTGTCGAGGAAAGGCAAAAAAGGCCATGAATCCTCTAACCAAGAAGTTGATTTACGATGGGAACAAAGTCATGAAACAATTTGTGTTGTCGAGTTGATGGCGTGTCACTTAGTCCATGCAGAAAAATATTGAAACTTTGACCTCTCACTTAAAACCAGAGTTTATGAAACATTTTGTATGGTCAGGTTGATGGCGTGTCACTTAGTACATGCGAGAACATGTTTAACCTTTGACCTCTCAAATAAAACCCGGTTTAAAGCTTTCTATATGCTATCCCGTAGGCATGGACATGGAGCGGATATCCAAAAATTTGTAATATTCGTGATCCTTTATGTTTCTAACGAATATTTAAATTTGTGATTTGTTTCGTTCCAATTTTTTTTGGATATTTGGAAGTCTGGATATCCGGAGTTCTTTTAATATATGCGGATTAATCAATTTGATCCGTTAATTATATTGAAATAAAAATAATTTATAACAGTAAAATTTAATTAAAAACCTCTCATAATATCATAATAAAGTAAAAATAATAGTAATATCTTACTAATAAACAAACCTCTTTAACATAAATTGTAAAACAAAACCAAAAATTTCAGTAATAACAAGCTTAAAAATGAGAAAACTTAACATTTAACTGAACATTAAAAATAAACGGGTTATGCAATAACCTAAAATATAATTGAAAAACAACTTAAAACAAAAAATTTAAACAAATTATATTATAAATATACATATATATATATATATATAATAGTTTATATATATTTACACTACATATGTATATTATACGAATCGGATATCCGGCTTTCTAAAATGATATTTGTGATTTGCTTCCTTTTCTATGGATATCATATTTGATATTTGTTTTGATTCGAAACTTTACGGATATCCATATTTTTTTAAATAGAAACAAATAGCGGATAAGATCAAATTTAGTGAATAATGTGTCCAGACATTAATCTAACGATTTAAGCCAGTTGATAGTGGATTTGATTCAAGTTTTGGGTGCTGACCTGATCACCCTAGACAAATCAAAAGAGCCATAAGCAGAAAATGACAAAAAAAAAAAACTCTTCCAACTTTTTTTGATACACTCTTCAAATGTTTATTAAAAAGTTTGCTTCATTTCTATATAGATGGCAGATACCTCTCATTTCTAACATAAATTTTATTAGGTAATGAAGTGTTATTCAAGCAAATAGAAGTTGGATTTAATTTGAAAGAGTAAAGATAGAGAGTAAAAAATTCTTGAATTGTGAACACTATGCATAATACCAAAAAAAAAATACCAAAGGTTTTGACATGAGAGTTTTTTTCTTCATCAGTCGTGGATGTGTTATTGTCTATGAAATTGTGTACAACACAAAAGGCATGTTCTAGAGAAGCACGCATAACATTTTCGTAAAAAGTAAAGATCTTGTTTATGCATCATAATTATAAGCTCAAGGAAACAAAATCATCATCTGTGTGCCCAAAGAGCTGCTTCTTCTCTCTCGTAAAATCCTCTTTCTTGCGTAATTTACATATTTGTACAACTTCCTTCTCGTTCTGCCTCTCTTTTAACTTCAAATATGATTAACTCTCTTTCATCCAGAAGTTAACAAGAAAAGACGTGCAAAAGAGAGTAGAGATTAAGCAAAACTTAATGTAAACTCATAATTATGAATAAGTGACCTTCACAATATAAGTTCATCAGTTTCTAGCACATAAAAAATGTCATAGTCTACATAATCATAAATAGGCTAATATAAGTTTCCATCAATATACGAGATGTATTATGTTACTTTAGTTTAAACAAGATGAACAAACTAGAGACCTCTGATTGATATTCATGGATATGAACAACCAGCACAAAATTTCCCTACACGTGTTCAGTGGTCTCCAATATATATCGATATATCAGAGCGGACATGCTTAACAAATGCGTCTGTGTGCGTTTATCATACGCATTCTCTGTGAAACAAAAACGTTATGTTTTTTTTTTTAATAAGAAAAAAAAGAGTTTCATCTTGAGTATAATACTCTCTCACATATCAGTGTTAGATTGAGTCCCAGCATTAACCTCTGGAACCGGCATTGCTTAGCCTGCAGAAACATAGAAACATATTGGGTCCTTTTTTTTTTAAGAAAAAGAAGAACATATGGTATTTGTTTTGCTTTTAAAAGCTGAAGATATATGTTAGCCATTGATATAGTTATATGTTAAAATATTATATACGCGCAGGGTGAAATAGTTTATAAATTATTTATTGTACAATGTATTTATAGATTTATCGTATAAATTTTTTAGTGATGAATATTTATATATATATTCGAATTCAGTAAGTTTATTTAGATTTTGGATTTTTAGAGTTAGAAATTTAAATCTTATTCGAACATTTACAAATTTTGGTTTAGATTTGGATAGAATCATTTTGAGTTCAATTTAGATTCGAGTCCGGATGTCCATTTTAATTACGTATTTTCAACAAAAATGCAAATATATTTAAGTCCTTAAAATCCAAAAATAAAATAATATAAAACATAAAAATTTGATAGTATAGGATTAAATTTTTAAATTTTCAAAAAAATTTAGTTCATTTTGGATAAGAAAAAATAAATATTATCAGTATTTTAAACATTGACTGTTATTTTTAGATATCTACTTGTGATTATGTTGATAATTTTTAAATATTTTCATAATTTTAAATATCTAATAGATATAAAATTTTAAATAATTAATATATTTAACTATATAATTATGAATTAGATATATTGATATCCAAAATAATTTAGTTTGTATTAAATTCGAGTCTGTATATCTGGATAGATCCATCTGATTACTTAATTAGTTTTGTGTTTAATATTACATTCACTTATAGTTCGGTTTCGGTTCATCGGATCTATATATTTGCCCATACTTACTTTCTTCTACTAATATAAAATATAATAAATATAAAATAAATATTTTTAGCATATTTAACATTCTTAATCATTAGACTATACTTTAAGAATAATAAAAATGGTTGGCACTATTGTTGGACATGTTGCAAGATTGACGTAGTCTATAACCAATAACATGTATTTTTTATAAAAGAATCTTGGAACCTGTAGTAAAAACACTATACAATCGAGCGAAAGAGGTTAGAGTTGCGTGTGATCTCTTCACTCGGCACCTGGATTATGTTTTCAATCGATATCACAACTTTTTATTTCATTTTAAAACTTTTCTAATTTTATTTTATTTTTTTCTAGTAATCTGATTATGTTTCTAATTCCTGGTATGACATGAATTAGTCACTTAACAGCTTGAATCGTTCATGGTTTGGTCGATTGTGGTTATTTTTAAAGTCTTGTTGTAATCCATAAATAGGTACTATTTTGTATGAATAAGTGATGACGATGATGAAACTTGTTTGTTCAAACTAGATAGTTGTAAATAACTGTTGTTGTTTATTGAATTTGATTTCATTGAGTAATCATCTATATATTAAAGGAGAAATATTCGTAACTAATGCATTCACACTATATTTTTTTTTAATATGTTGACGTATCATTCTCACAATTGTTTAACAATTAATGCATTCACACGCTAATTTTTTAATTACAGTGCAGACAATTTAATGTGTTCGCATTCTATTTTTTCAATTAGCTTATTTTAGTTTATGCATTTTTAACATTTATAATAGTGAATTGAAATTAATTAAAATCCTATGTGTACAACTACTGAATAATATCATTTTACAAGAAATAAATTAAAAATCATTAAAATTCGTATCAACTAAAATGTTGGAAAGAGAATGTTCTTAAAAATTGAAAGTTTCACATCGTTTTATGTTTTCAACGCATTTATGTGATATTTTTTTTTTCAGATTTACCCATTCCAGCGAGATATGGTTTTGTTTAGATGATTAGATTCGGTTGCTTTGATGATTAGATCTTAGTCATTTGGTGGAGTACTACCGCAACAGACCGCAAGGACGGAAAAGTTGTCAAGCCAAAACGATCCCTTTCGGTTCTTTTACAAAAGAGCAGTGGCACGGGCGGCAACCTTTAAAATCCCTAAGAGCGGCGGCAGCTGCGTTGAGACTTTCAGCGGCGGGGGCGAGATGAGTGGCTTCAGTGAGGGGTTTCTGACCACGAGCATTGGGCTTGTGAGAGAAGGCCTTACGAGAGAGTCTGCGAAGCATGTGTAAAGTTCCTATCTCGAAAATTATGGTCCGTGGCTTTCTTCAACTTGTGCTGGCAACCATTGCATTCACGCATTATTGGTTTGATGTTCTTTGAAGTTGGAAGCGGTTCATCAACGAATGAACCTCCTCTTCTCTTTGCAATAAACTGTCACCCGTAAATATTATGATAATCAAGAAGTTGCCATTTCTTGTATTTCAACATTACAATCTCTAAGAATGCCTTCAAGTTCACATCTTATTGGATCGAAGAAAGCCAAACTCAAAAGGAAGACTAGGGAAGGTAAAACAATAAATTTAATAATTCTTTTAATTTGTATGAAAACTTAGAACAACAAATAAAGAGTATCTTAATCAGTTTCAATAAAACAAAGTGTTAAAAATAAGATGATAATTTAGTGTTAACCCTGGTTATTTTATTTGGTTAAATCCGTTAACTTATAATGCAAGGTTCTTGGAAAGTCACTAGAACAGACACAAACTTACAAAACGATGAACATAGTTCATAAAGTTTCGGATAACTAAAAGTGACAACTAAATCAGAAGCATAACAAAACATTAAAGATAATAAACTAAGCAATTCAAAAACTTTAAACCCTCTCTTCAGACCTCACTCTTCTTTTTCTTTTTCTCCTTCTTTTCTTTCTTCTTGGCAGGCATTTCAGTTTCTTCTTCCTCGTGCTTTCTCTTCTTCTTTTTCTCCTTCTTTGCAGATTCTTCAGCTTCAGGTTCTACTTCTGTTTTACTCTTCTTCTTCTTCTTCTTTGAAGATTCCTCAGTTTTGGCTTCTTCTTCTTCTTCTTCCTCTGCATCAGCCTTCTTCTTCTTCTTTTTATCTTTCTTCTCTTTGACACCATTCTCAGCTGAGTCAGGAGTTTGTACAAGAATAGAGTCTGCAGCAGTGTTGTAAGTCTGCACAAAACAACAATCAAAAAGGTTTTAATCCTTTACGCAATCTCATTAAAGGTTGAAGAGACAATCAAGCAGACAATAATCTAACCTTAGCAGCAGTGACCAGACCTCCAGATCCGATCTTCTTATCCTTGTTATAAACTTCAATCTTTGGCTTGCCTTTAGATGAGCCAGACAAGCGTCCTAGATCTTTCCCTTCTAGACTTCTCAACCGTGTTTCAAGCTGTGTCCAAAAGAACAATCAGTAAAGAAGAAGAAAAATAGTTCATATTGACAAGACCAAAGAAATTTATTAAACAATACCTTTAAACGATTCTCCACTCCCATAGTGTTGTCTTCCCCATCACCAAGAGCATCACAACGAATAGAGAGAGCAGCTTTAGCAGCTAGTGACCGTGAGATTTTACCCTTGTGCTTCGGTGCAGCTTGGCCAACTACAGACGCATGGTAGATTAAACCGTACTTTGGTGTGGCGTGTTTGGTCTTCAAGGCTCTAAATAAGGCTTTCTCAGCTCCAAGAATCTGAATAGTGCTCCCAGGTTGCTTTGCAAGGTTTAATAAACTACCACCATGAGAGATAAGACGAGCACCAACAAGCTCCCCAACAAGGGCAGTTAGGTTCGGTGCGATTGTGTTCATTCTGCTCTTCAAGTAGTCATAAAGCTGAGCTCTGTACTCAGCAAGAGACAGAACCTGGTCGCAAAGTTCCCTAATGTGCAGCAAATCAAGGTCACTGACTTCAGTTCCCATAGATATAACAGCAGCCTCCTTTAATTCAGCTTCCACTTCATCAGCTAATATCTAAGACAAGGCCAGAAACACAAAAAGTTATAATTAGCTTCAACTTCAAGAACTCAAATCTTGAAACCAAAGAGAATGGTAGACACTAGACAGGGCTTAACCTCAGAGAAGTCTAACTTTGCGGCATTGATCCTGTTTCCCATTAACTTTACAGACTTGGCATACAAGATGTTGTCACTTATGATCTTAGCAAGCTCAGGAAAATGCCAACCGTACCATTCACGAACCCTCATAGCGTAAGTGTTTAGCTCTTTGTCAAGATCATCAAGTAAACCAATAGCTTGGATTATCATAGTATCAACCTAACAAACAAAAAACTAAAGCATTAAGAGATGAAAGACAGAGAAACTCAACAGCATTTCAGACAGCAAAAACGCTACCTTGTCAGAACTGAACTTTAGTTTATATCTAGCAAGACTATGAGACAACCCCAAGCTCATTGGAGCCAAATCTTGTTCCCCCAATCCAGATATAAGTTCGGAAAGCTGACTTCTCACACCACGCAAAAGCTCCATAACAGCATTGTTGTGAACACAGTCTATACTCTACATGAATGAGAAACAAAACCGTTAGAAACAACCAATAATCAAGAAAACAACATAGCACAAAACGAGATTACACACCAGTTTCTCCTTGATAATGTTTCCAAGCTTCGAATCAGCAACGGCTAAGGTTTCACCTTTGCAGTTAGCTTTCAGAAACTTACGGAGACCCTTGCTGGGTGTTCCTTCAACTAGTTTAGCTACTGCTTCAAGAGCTTCGGAAGTGTTGTCAAACTTGTCAAAAGCTTTTAGCTTCACCATCTGTACTAACACCAAAACACTCTTTCAGAAACCTAAAACTATGAGATATAAGTCAGAACTATTTAAAAAAAAAAAACAGAAGAATCACCTTTCGAGCTGACTCTGCAGAGGAAAACACATTGCCCAAATCCTACAAGCACCAAAGTAATGTACTTAGAATAAACATTAAACCGTAATCTCAAGAAGAAGGTGAAGATAGTAACCTCAACATTAGAGAGCTTCCCTTCATTTAATACTTTAAAAATAGCGAAACCTCCGGGAGTCTCAAACAGAAGAAGCATTATTACAAGCTTTTAAGTTAACACCTGACAAAAAAACAAGATTAAGAAAACCATTAAAGTGAGCTCAATCTACACATAACTACCCAAAAAATGTGCTTTCAACTCAATAATGTTTATTTATACTAATGGTTACAGTGAAAAAACAAGATTAAATTAAAACCATTAAAGTGAGCTCAATGTATACTGAGAACTACAAAAAGTCCATGTCTTGGGAGCTAAGCTATAAAAGAACAACTTTCAAATCAAACCTTTTTTTTTTAATTTCTTAGTCTACACATTATGACCTCCATTAAATGGAGGAAATTAAAGATAGACAGAACACAGTTTAAGTCTTGTTACCCCCTTGCCATGAGTAGAACTATACTAAGACAGAATCAAGAACTTGAAGTAGGCTTGTGGCATTGATAACGTCAAGAGAGAGAGAGGCGAGGAAGAAACATTTACCAAGGAGGGTATGCGAATTAGCTGTGCAGAGTTTGGAGGAGACACAGAGGAAAGAGAGAAAGCTAGCAGCCACGAGTTTGTGTTAGGGTTTAACAAAGTTTATTTATATTTCTAAGGAGAAACTCAAAACGCGGCGTTCTATTTGTTTTTTTGTGAATTAAAAAAAACTTAGGGTTTTAAAAGTCCAGTATTTATTGGGCTTAATAAAACTCGTCCCATTAATTGAGATGGACGAGCGGTGCCAACTAGCACGCTTGTTCACCAGAAAATACTCGCGGTGGATCTGCAAAACGGCGTCGTAATAAATTACAACGAAATGTAACGAGTAACGACCCTGAGATAGGCCGGTGCCACGTCTCTAAGACTAGCCACCGTTGGTCACGGCGGTGAGTTGGAAACGGTGTCGTATCAGTAATGATTCATTTCTTCACTTGCAAGGAGCCGGGCTATTAAACCGTTGGTATATAAGCCGGTTTATTTCCAATCGTACCAAATCTTTGTAAACCTCTTTCGATTTGAGAGGCACGTGACATGCGCATGATAAACAATACACAGCTCAAATCACAAAGATCTTCTTCACCTTCGTTCCCGAATCCCTCTCTCGATCGGAGCTTCACCGTCCGATCTCGATGCCATACTTCCCGATCCATCTCTCTTCCTCGTAACATCTAAGTCTCTCCCTAAACCTTAATTACGAAGATGGCTTTGGTAGCGGCTCTGGAGGCGGATCTCCGTGCTCTCTCCGCGGAGGCGCGACGAAGGTATCCCGCCGTTAAAGACGGAGCTGAACACGCAATCTTGAAGGTTGAATTCACTGTGAACATGGCCGCCTTGTTTTTAGTTAGCTCACACTAAGCGTTTTGAACTGATTGATACTCTTAAGATTGAATCTGCCTCTAATTGATAATGTGAAGATTGAATCATTAGCTATCTCTGTTAGTGAATTTGAATTGATTAATGAAATCTTTTGTTAGTGAATTGAATTGTAAGAGCCTTAGAGTTCAAGTAGTGAGACTTAATTTTACTCAAAAGGTTTTACTGGAAAATAATTGAATTTATTTATATTTTGTTTTTTTTTTTGTGTCAGCTTCGTTCGTCATCGAGTGCGAGTGATCTTTCAAGCAATGAAGACATTCTTCGGATTTTTCTGATGGCGTGTGGAGTCAGGAATACTAAGCTTAGTGTTATAGGGCTTTCGTGTTTGCAGAAGCTTATATCTCATGATGCTGTTGAACCATCGTCTCTAAAGGAGATACTTGAGACCTTGAAAGATGTAAGTCAGAGTTTCTGTAACTTCTCTAAGTTAACTAGAATTTTTTTTGTAATTTCTGTTTGATGCAACGGAAGCATTTGAATTTACAGAGACATGCCCTCTTTTGTTTTTTTTTGGATGGAAAGGGAGAAATAAGCTTCATTTTTTACTTGATGAATTTATTGCGAAATACTAGTTAACGTGGTGTTTCCTTACTCGCAGCATTCAGAGATGGCTGAAGAAAATCTCCAACTAAAGACTCTGCAAACTATTCTTATAATATTTCAGTCTCGTCTACTTCCAGAAACTGAGGTGAGTACGAAAAGCTTGGTCTAGTAAGAATGAAAGCTAGGGAAAAAATGCTGGTAGACTAAATTATTCTGATGGTTGCATTGTCGTAAATGAAAGTTAAAATTGTTTTATGCATATAAGAATAGAATGCAGATGTCAAGAACTTGTTTTTTTTTAAGTGACCCATGAATCATGAGCAGTAAGACAAACTGTATTATGCTAATGTAAAACTATTAGTTCTCCATGGATCTGCTTCCTTACGGCTTTGTTATTCGTGAGGCTTTAGCATCTTTCTTAATTTCAGGATAATATGGTTCTCGGACTAAGTATCTGTCTCAGGCTTCTTGATAACAACCGACTTCCTAGTGTTTACAAGTAAGTTGCTTTCATTCAAACCAACCTCACTACTCCGATGGTATTTTCCTCTTCAAACGTTTATTACCGGGAAAATTAGAAACCATGGATCTTTTTTTTTGGTCTCGCAGTACTGCTGCAGCTACCTTCAGGCAAGCAGTTGCGATGATTTTTGATCAAGTGGTTTCAGCTGAGTCCCTTCCTGTGAGTAAATTTGGATCTAGCAGTCAAACAGCAAGGACTGGCTCAGTTACTGGAGATTTGAGTCAGAATATCAATGGTTCAGAGTATGCATTCCTGATCATCTCTGTCTGACTTACTCTTTCAACCTCTTCTTTGTACTCTCAGTCTCTTTACTGTCCAGATATATTTTTCGCATTTTGGTCGACTTTTTGTTTATTCTAATACACAGAGGGTGATGCAATTGTTATATGTTTTTCCTGATAGAATGAAAGACATAGGCTCTCCATTTAGAATTCCTACTTCCATTCAGTTGGAACCTTTGGTTTTTCGTGTTAAACCTATTAATAGACTAACAGAAAAATGAAACCAGGTCCTTGGAGAAAGATATCTCTGGTCGATCGACAATGAGAGACACTCTGAGTGAAACCGGTAAACTTGGTCTGCGTTTGCTTGAGGACCTGACAGCCTCAGCTGCAGGTGGATCTGTATGTGTTAAAATCAACTATATTATGTATCTCCTCTCCAGCTCAGTGTCATTAAAGGTATTTCACCAAGGTTAATATTTCTGTTCATGCTTCAGGCGGCTTGGTTGCATGTTACTTCCCTTCCAAGGACCTTTTCCCTCGAACTAATTGAGTGAGTAAAAAAGAATTTTTAAATATAGTTGATAAAAGGATTGAAAATCATTTTTTTTTAATGTACGAGTTCTCAATTTGTTCTGCAGGTTTGTTTTGTCGAACTATATCTCAGTTTTTAAGATACTACTTCCCTACGAACAGGTAGATGGGCACTTATTTTTCATCCTTTCATTAACATGCTGACCAACTGTAAAAGGTTTAATCAGGTTTTGCGTCACCAAATCTGTTCCCTTCTAATGACATCACTTCGGACCAGCTCAGAGGTAAAATTTCGCCTCACTGCCTTTTATATCTTTGTATACTTCCACGTGTATTAAAGCTTATCTACGTGCATTTACTCATGGAATTAACTTTCTTACTACTCAGCTCGAGGGAGAAATGGTTGAACCTTATTTCCGTCGGTTGGTGCTGCGGTCAGTTGCTCATATTATTCGACTGTATAGTTCGTCTCTCATTACAGAATGCGAGGTACAGTATTGATCGCACAGGACCAAGCACATTAAACACTTTTATCCTGTTGACTATGATATATGCAAGTTTTCTGCACTGATGTGCTTCCATTTCATTCTATATGTGCAGGTGTTCCTAAATATGCTCGTGAAAGCTACATTTTTAGATTTGCCATTGTGGCATCGCATTCTTGTTCTTGAGATTTTGAGGGTAAACATTATATTCCAAATTACTACTTCACGTGTATCTAAGATAGTATAAGGAGTGCAATTTCTTTTTGATTCTCATTTTAAGATATCTTGTGTATATCATTAAATAGGGGTTCTGTGTTGAGGCAAGAACTTTGCGGATTCTTTTCCAGAATTTTGATATGTAAGGCTACTTACTTCTTCTTTTTTGTCCTGCTACACTCGATTTTGCATGTTACATTAAACAATTACCTGTCTTGTTGTTTCTTCATACTATTGTGCAAAGAATTAAGTTTTTTTTTTTTGGGATCATGTTCCTTCTGTGATCTGATAGTAACTTTTCTTTCAAGGAACCCTAAAAATACAAATGTTGTGGAGAGCATGGTCAAAGCGCTTGCTCGAGTTGTTTCTAGCATACAGGTGGGTCTATAGGGCAGGTCGACTGTGATGTTTCTGTAGTCTCGATTTGCTTGAGCTCTCTTAGCCACTACCTTATTTGTTTACCAGTTGGTTTTAGATCTACATTTAGTTTTTACCTATTATGTGAACCAGAGAAAAAAATAGGAACAACTTCACGAACTATAAGTTGACTTAATTAACTTTAGACAACTCATAACAAGAGTAAAAAAATTTACATCGCTAAACTCTTGAGTTGGTTTTCTTGAAAGTAGTTTCAGGAGACGAGTGAGGAAAGTCTAGCAGCTGTTGCTGGGATGTTTAGTAGCAAAGCTACAGGTAACAAATTATTTTGTGGCTATGATGATTAATTGCTACTCTAACGACCGCAGAATTCCATCTTATTTTATTCCACTAAAAGTTGTCATTATAAATCCCCCCCCCCCCCACTGCTGTAGGAATTGAATGGATTCTTGATAATGATGCTTCCAGTGCGGCTGTTCTCGTTGCAAGCGAAGCTCATGCAATAACTTTGGCAATTGAAGGCTTACTTGGAGTTGTGTTTACAGTCGCCACTTTAACAGATGAAGCAGTAGACGTTGGGGAGGTAATTGATGCAAGGTTCTCTTCCTCTATGGCATATTAATGTTCGGTTAACATTTTCTCTTTCTAATCTTTGCCTGCTGGTGTCTTGCTTTTCATACTTTCCTTTCTTCAAACCACTATAGCTTGAATCTCCCAGATACGAGCATCATCCTACGTCTGATTTTTATACTGGGAAAACCTCACATCTATGTATCTCGATGGTAGATTCATTATGGCTGACCATACTCGACGCATTTTCCCTTATTTTATCAAGGTATTATAGCCCTTTTGCCTGACTATATATTGATTGTGAAAAGGCGAACACTGAAGACTTTGTTTAATCTAATTATTCTTGAAGGTCACAAGGTGAGGCAATCGTATTGGAGATACTGAAAGGATATCAAGCATTTACTCAGGTAAATGTAAATACGTGATGTGGATATTGGCGATGTGCGGACATCTTTGCCTTACACTCATTACATTGACAGTCAACCTTATGTTGTCTACTTATCCAGAAGAAATGATGGGTATCCTTATGATTTTTTTAGGCATGTGGCGTTCTTCATGCTGTAGAACCCTTGAACTCTTTTCTTGCATCGCTTTGTAAATTTACCATCGTTTTGCCGACTGATGCTGAAAGGAAAAGGTACCTTGATATGTGTGCTTTAGATATCATGTCGAAGCTACATGATCTATGCAAGCCGGTTAACTTTTGGGATTTCATTTGTAGTTTCAG